TATATATATATATATATATAAGGTGCTGCACTGGTAAGTTACCTGGAGAGCTAGTAGACCCTTTCCTTGTGATACTGGACAAGACTATATGCCCAGAAGGACTGAATTCAAGTAGCATGGGCAACCCTGTTGCTGTACACTCTGAACTCTGAACTTATGAGCATTTGACTGTGCAATTTCTGGAGGTTTTTTTAATGCACTTTCTTTTGTGTATAATAACATAATTTCATTGCCAAATACAAAAGCCAACTAGAACTTTATTACGTAAGTGTATGATAAATGTCTTTTGTGTTACATAAAATATATTGAGTTGATGAACAACCTAACAGAAAACCACAACAACAATCAGCAGTCTCTCCTTTTCAGTCTGTTTGTTATCATTTTAAAGCAAATGCCCAGCAAGTGTGAAGCAGGACAGTATTTCTAGTACTAAAGGCCTTTCCAGGACTAGACTGGTATATGGAAGGAAATAGCAAAAAGCAAAAGATTACTACTTAAAATTGTAGCATAAAGAGTTTTTAATTACACAGGTTTGTGACTAACTTACCATCTAGAAAAAATTGAAATAAGTCGCACACTTATTTATGATCTTGGTGTAGTGAATCTAACTCAAAAGCCTCATTAATAATATAGTCTGGCGTAAGTGTCTTAACACTAAAGCTACTAGTGCCATATTTATAGACAACGTTATCCTGAGGCAGTCTTATTGCAGATCTATTTTATGATACAGCATTGTCATGGTTTTAATGTCAACATATTTCAAAACTCATTATTTATATGCAGCACAGCATGCCTTTTTCTATAGTATACACATTTCTGGGTCACTTAGGACCATCTCATGGGAAAATTAATTGTATTTTCAGTGAATCTGCCATTTGGAAATGGAGCAAAGAAAGCCTTGTGCAGGAAGATTAGCAGTAGAAAAATGAAAAACTGAAAAATGGTCTGTACTGATTGAACAAAGCTGCTTAAAACCCCAAGTAAATTAATATTTTTATGTTATTTTTAATTGCAGATCCTTTACCACCTGCTAAGTTTGAACTTAATAAAGACAAAACTACATCTACAAGCTTACAGGCCTGGTGGAGTGCATCTCCAGGAAGGGTAGACTTTTATGTGTTACAGCTATATGATCGTAGTAATAAACAGATAAAGGAGATCCCAATATCAGGAGGTGTTTCCAGAACAGAGCAGACCTTTTCCAGTCTCATCCCTGGTAGCAAATACAGTATTGTCCTAACTGCAGTTGCTGGAAATAAAAGTACCTCTGCACTTCAGATCAGTGGGTCTACTGGTAAGATGTGTTTTACTGTGATTCATCTGAATAAGGCTATTTACAATTAAAGGTTCACCGATACATCGGTTCATGTTGTATCGGTGCCAATAAAAGCAAAATTGACATTATCGGCAGTAGGCTTTTTTTGGCTGATGTGGCCAATAATGTCACTGATAAATGTTCCATGCATGTGTGCAGGTCGGCAGTGTCCAGCTGGTAAGTCTGTGAGGGAAAAGGGGCAGGGGGAAAGCAGGTGGGGCAGATCGAGGACCCCACAGTGAAGGAGGGTGTGGGGGTGGGGCTATGGCAGAGGCAGGGACAGGCGCTGCCCAGCCAGGGTGGGGCAGGGCCTGGGACAGAGCTGAGAGCAGCTCATCTGGGGGCATGGGGCAGGAGAGGGGGTGGCTTCTGCCACTGGTGCACCCCAGGGAAAGCATGGAGGATCATGTGTCTCCTGGATGTGTGTGTGGCAGAGGTCGGGCTGCCACTGGGGGCTGGGAGCAGCACCAGGCTCTTCCTGGCAGTGGGGCCGGGCCAGGGTTGCACATGGAGTGACAAACTGGAAGAAGCAGTACATTAGTTAGACCTGGCTCCACAGCGTCCATATAGATTAGGCGCTTCAGCTGGGCTTTTTTGGTGCTTTTATCTAAAGCGGATTCAATCAACTATTAAATAAAAGTTCCCAAAAAGCCCCACTGAAATGCCAGATCTATACAGACATTGGGTGAGCCACCTAATGTGATGCCTCTTCTGGGCATGTGCTAGGCTCAGTACAGGGGCATGAAGAGTTTAAAGTAAAGTACCATTTGGGGGTTTTTTATGTCTGTAAGCAGAGCATAATAGTTATAAATGGAAATAAATCAAGACTCCATTGCCAACTTTGACAATCATTTTCTAAGTGAGAAAGAATGTTGTCACATCATATTTAGCCATAAATTTTGCTTTTGCTTTTTGGAAGCACTAAACCATCTTAAAATCTTTCAGTTGTTAGTTACATAGTTGAATCTCAAATAGTGAAGAAAACCATTATGTATAAAACATGTGTTTTTCATTCCTACAGTTCCCTCTCCTGTGAAAAATATTCAGGTCATTGTCAAGACGGACACGATCAGTGTTTCATGGGAACGTGGTTCTGGGAATGTGGATCAATACAGGCTGGTATTGCTGGATAATGACAAAAAAAATCAGGAGATTAAGCAGGAGGAACACTTAACCGCCTACACTTTTTCTGGACTTACAGCAGGACACCTGTATAATCTCTCTGTCATAACTGAAGCTGCAGGGCTGGAGAGCTACAACTTTAAACTTGTTAGGACAGGTAGGATTTCTCAAATACATCATAGTAAAACAACAGCATAAGGTTAAATTAAGGATTGCATGATGCAGTCAAAAATAAACAGTATAGGCTATATTACTGTCTTTAATCTGTGTCAGAGTTTTAACTGCCCCCATGAAGTACTTGCAGGAAGGGATCTAGACAGTACATAGTCCTCTTTAATCTATAGCTCTTTAATGACTTTTATGAGAATAGAAATATTTTCTGTTGTTCCCTTTTGGGGGGCTTACAAATCTTAATTTAGAGCCATATATTCCCTTTAGAACTGTTGGGGTATTTTAATGAAATGGTTAAAAAAAGCTAATTCATTAGAACCACAGCTTTTACTGGGAACATAACCTATTTGACTAGGCATTCACTTAGCATGTGAGAGACCCAGGTTTGAGTTTTTGCTCTCTAAGTTGCCTGAGTTTGCCTGTCAAAGCTTTTTCACATTATATGAATATAAATAATGGGGTCAGAAAGACAGAGACTGACCCTGGTGGATAAGATTCTCTCCTAAAATGTGGAGTTACGGACTCCCTGAATGCAGACTTCCAAACAGAATGAGCAGGACCTTGAGCTTGAGTTCTCTACACATCAGGTTAGTGTTCTAAGCACTAGGTCATTGGCTGTTCTGGGGTGTATGTCTGTTTCTTTCCCCAAGATCTCTGTTTACCCCTGATGTGAAAAGGAAAAGGTTTGAAATCTTAAAAATCTGCATAGTATAGGGAAGCATTTCCTCCCCAGCTCTAGCAACAAGAGACATCTTACATTTTAGAACAATCATAACTGAAAACTAGGGGTGCACCAATAGAGATTTTTGGGGCCGATACCTATATTCAATTTTTAAGGAGGCATATCAGCTGATACCAATCTGATTTCCCATACAGCATGGAGAGCTGCCTCCCTCTACTAAGTCCATTGTGGTGGAAGGGGAGGGGGAGGGAAGGGGCATGGGGGGGTCAGATCACCCCCCCGTGGTGAGGTAGGGGGCAAGGACAGGTGCTTCCCACCTGGGGTGGGGCGGGGCACTCATCAGGGGGTGGGGGTGGCTCCTGCCACTG